GAGGGAGAAGGGGGGAGAGAGAATGAATACGGATTAAATCTGTTTAACTACCTACATTAATGAGATATCTCTTCCCTCACAACAAATCAAATACCTTCGCGGACCACCCCCAAAGACTGATGTGGGGGAGTCACGGGGAAAAAAAAAAAACACCACCACCCACAACCACGCGCGCACACAGAGACCCAGCGCCAGACGCAGGCAACGCTGTTAATTTCGTGATTTTTAACGAGGCAGTTGAAGTCTTTTTAAATGTCAGGGTCGCTTCGGAAAAATGTAAAAGAACACGGCTTAATTGCGCTGAGTTTTAAAAGGTCCGATAAATGTAATTGGTATTTTAATACAAGTTATCAAATCATACAGCTTCCCCTCCTAAACATATTTTCCAACAAACGAGGTAGTCATATTTAAAGCTTTAATGATCAATTTCCTTATTATTGATAAAGGTTTAACTGTCGTGTGAAGGGAATTGGCTGGGTAGCCGGCCCCCCCAGAAAAAACGCCTGTAAACTCTTTAACAAACTATAAAACGCAATAAAGCCGGGTCTGTTGTTGTTTATGCCGCAGCGCATAAAAGCTGTTAGCATTTTACGAGTTCTTTCCTCTACAGCTATAAAACTGCAGCTTCGATCGCCCCCGCTGCACGGCTGCAGCTCGGTGGGGGTGGCAAAGCCAAAATGAAAACGATTATGGGTTGGGGGTTTTTTTTTCGGTGCAAACGGTGGCTTTTCCTCGAGTTTTTCCTCCTTCAGCTGTGCGGAGCACCTGTCCCCACCCCCTCTCTGGAGCCCCCAGACCACCACCCCCTCTGCCACCCCCAGACCACTCACCAGCGTTTCCCTATTCAATAAAGAAGCCGGGCTTTTCTTTGGAGAAGGGGTCTGGGAGGGTGTGAGGAGGGACCGGGACAGGGAGAGGAAACTTTCTGGTTAATGGGCACCAAGCAAAGTTCCCCCTAAAACGGAGGATTCTGCAGTTTTTGCACAGCCTGGTGGGGAGGGGGGTCTGGAATGGGGTGGAGGTCTCTGGTTGAAGGCGCGTGGGCCCAGTCAGGGTTTTGGGGGGCCAAGTTCGTGTGATGGGAGAGGAGCCTGATGCCACCAGCAGGATGGCACCCACTTGGGTTGTCGCACTCCTGCACGCAGGCCTGGGGGCCCAGGAACCAAGCCCAGTGGCCTCCCGACCTTCCAAGCATGCTTGGGGGAGAGGGCACCCCACGCCTATCAGCACATCACAGGGAGCAAAGGGCACTGGAGCCACCGCTGGGCACCAGGCCCTGGCACCAGGCCTTGATGCCACTGCCCTGTGCCCTCCTCAGCCCTGGGCCTTGGCTGCAAGGGGAGGGTGTGTATGAAGGGGGCGCCTTCTAGCTGTCAGCATTCTGTGAGCCACTGTCACTGCCTAAACTGACCTTGGAGTAGAGGGGATTTAAACGCGGCAAGGCCACGGAGTCCCCCATTTTCTCCCCCTTTCCCCCCTGGTTGGGGAGCCTTTAGTTGGGCTTGGCTTTCCTTCCAACCTGAGGACCTGAGGCCTGAAATATGGACTGCAGATGCGAACTGACTTGGTGCCATACCCTTCAGCGGGCGGCCTTTCCTGGCCTGCCAGGCCTGGTGGTGGCGGTGGCTTAGGCTTCAGAAGGCCCTGGTCTGAGGGCCTGAACCAATGGGCTCCTGGAGGGGCTCACTGGCCAAGGGAAGGGAAGAAAGAAGGAAGGAAGGGGGAGAAAGGAGAGACATTTTCTAGCAAGAAAAGTGGAGGTTTTACAAATACATTCCATTCATTGTTTATTTAGGAGCGTGGTTTGCTGTGTATTCCGGGGATCCGAGTCACCCCAACCTTCGTAAAAATCAAACCATCGCCTTCCTAAGGGAGAGTGACCATGGGGGGCCACTGGCTCTTCACAGGTGAATCTGGAGAATGGGAGAGGGGCTGCCAGGAAGCGAGACAGGAGAAAGGGAAGGGAAAGTGTTGAATCTTCAAACGCCAGACGAAGAGGGCGGTGAGGCGGTGGAAGCCAGAGAGAGTTAAGTTGTTGCCGAAGCAACATTTTTATCAAATGCGGGGGGGATTTTATGGTCACGATTTGAGGACTCACCGGTGAGGTAGCAATTCAATGACTTGTTCTAAATCATCCCTACACCGTGCCAGAAATTCCTGATGGAAGGAAAATGTTTCTGTTATAAGAAGGAAAAAAAAACGCAACAAGAAAGAGCGAGGAGATAATTTATAAACACCCAACGGAGCGCAGATTTATTAGAGAAACTCAAGTTGAGAAAGTCCGCTCGCCTCTCCGCACGCGCTCCTGGGGGAGGAGGGGGCTCGTCCTAAGGGGGGAGGGGGGCTAGTTCTCGCGCAGGTGGGTCCCAGTGAGGGGCGCGGGTCGGGCTGGGTCCGAGGAAACAGGAGATTTGGAATCGGAGAGTCTAAGGGCAGACAGTGCGCGGGTCT